CCAGCCCGTCTCCCGGAGAGCTGCGCCCCAAGGGCCAGGGCACGCTCCCTCCGCTGGAGCGGGAGCAGCTCCGCGCTGGGCAGCATCCTGGGCATCCCTGCCGAGAAGCCGCCGGGCGCCCTGGGCGAGCACCCGCCACCCGTTGCCACCTGCAGAGGTGAGTGGTACCGGCTGCTGCCCGTGCAGGGACAGCTGGTCCTGATCCCCGGTGGGTTCGAGCAACCTTCAAGCTCCTCCTTTCTTCTGGCAGAGGAACAAGACCGTCTCTTACGGGATAAGCCGGACCAGCCCCAGAACCCCAAGGTTTTAAGAATTGCCATCATTGGAGCGCCAAACGCGGGGAAGTCCACGCTGTCTAATCAGCTCTTGGGTAGAAAGGTAAAGCTGGGGAGGAGCGACAAGTTTAAGCTGCTAAATTGTTTGTTCAGTGTATTCGAGCTGTGTAACGTGTTGAATTTCTTACAGGTTTTCCCTGTCTCTAGGAAAGTGCACACAACCCGATGCAAAGCCCGGGGTGTTGTCACCTATGAGGACACGCAGCTGGTGAGCAGACCTGTTCCTAGCTGGGACAGTGGAGAGAGTTAGCAAAAAAGTGCGGGGTTTTCTCATTTGTATCCCGAGGGGTCGCTCCTGATTACACAAATAGGATCACAGAATGGTTTGGGTTGGAGGGACCTTAAAGCCCCCCCAGCCCCCCCCCCTGCCATGGGCAGGGACCCCTTCCACTAGACCAGGTTGCTCCAAGCCTCATCCAGCCTGGCCTTGGATACTCCCAGGGAGGGAGCATCCACAGCTTCTCTGGGCAACCTGTCCCAGTGCCTCCCCACCCTCTGCGGGAAGAATTCCTTCCTGATGTCCCATCTCCATCTCCCTCTTTCAATTTAAACCCGTTACCCCTTGTCCTGTCACTCCCTGCCCTTGTAAAAAGTACCCCCCCAGCTTTCTTGTAGCCCCTTCAGGCATTGGAAGGGGCTCTAAGGTCTCCCCGGAGCCTTCCCTTCTCCAGGCTGAACACCCCAACTCTCCCAGCCTGTCCCCAGGGCAGAGGGGCTCCAGCCCTCGGAGCATCTTTGTGGCCTCCTCTGAACTCGCTCCAACCAGTCTGTATCCAAGGAGTTTTACCTTGGCCACTAACTGCAGGCAAACTTAAAAGAGCTGTCTTTTCTCTTTCTAGATCATTCTGGACACACCTGGCCTCACTAATCCCTTTAAAGCCAAAAGGTATTGACGCTGTTGTGGGGAGAGGAGAGAAGGTTTGATAAAACCAGAGAATGATTTCCATGCAGAGTTTGTAAAATAAGAGAGAAAGGAATGTATATTTTTGGCCTTATTTTGGTCCCTGAGTTTTATTGTTGCAGTTTCAGTAGCAGACAGAGACTGTGGCCTCCCTTGAGCCCTGTTATGTTTGATTCTGCATGTGTGCACGTGACGAGGGATGTCACAGCCCGAAAGGCAGCTTTGTGTCAGCAGGGATGGTGGAAAACACTGATTTTCCCTCCTTTTGAGAGGAAAGAAGACAGTTGTGATTGAGTGTGTCTGGCTTACTCATTTGCATTTGTCTATCAGACATAAATTAGAGGAAGTCATGCTGACAGACCCATGGGACAGCATGAAACATGCGGATTTAGGTGAGTACTCCATTCCTCTTGGATCAAGCCCAACCCTTTATCTGCCACAGAGTTTTACAGCCCTGTGGCTGTGGGATCAGGATGTTTACTGGGCAGCAAAGCAAAGGCAGCCCTGGGAGCGGGAACTAGGAGGGAGGAGGGAAGGGCGGAGAGGAGATTGGAATGCTGAGCTGAAGAGGGGATGAGAACTGCCTGGTGCTGAGGGGAGGCAGATTGTGTTAATGAAGTGGACTCAGATGTTGACCCTTAGCACGTGTGATGTCGTGACAAGTGTGAACGGCATTTTGTTGTTTTCACAATTAAAATACTCCTCATTGGTTCCATCCGTGTGCTGTCCTGTGTAAAGCTGAAAATGAACATCGTGGGAAATGCAGGTTCCTCACATTTCCCTCACTTCTTTTTCTGGCAGTTCTGGTTTTGGTGGACGTGTCGGATCACTGGACACGAAACTCTCTGAGCAAGGAGGTGCTGAAGTGTCTTTCTCAGTTTCCCCACATCCCCAGTGTCCTGGTTCTGAACAAGGTAAATGAGGAGCTTGTTCTCTCTGCCTTCTATAGCAGGTTACATCAGTGTCTTCAGACCTTGCCTGATGGCAGCAGTGACGTGTTGTCAGGCCACCGAGCCCAAATGTGTTAAAGGGTACTGATTTCCCCTTCTCCTCCACAATATTTAAGTGGAACTGCTGACACTCTGGTTGGAGAACTGTCCGATTCTGTTGCAGGAGCCTCGTCCAGCAGCAGCTGCCTCCCCTGGGTGGTTCCTCCTGGCTCCTTTGGATCCAGGACCCAACCACCAACCTCATTTAGGACAAATTCCTGACACCTCTCTCTCTTGTTAGGTGGATCTGCTAAAGAAGAAGTTCATCCTGCTGCAACTAGTAACTGAGCTAACAGAGGGAATTGTAAATGGAAAGAAACTGGAAGAGAGATCTGCCTTTAGACATAATTCCAGTTCTTCAGCAAAGGCTCTTCATCACGTCACTGAGGCTTCTCCGCCCGAGAGCAGCGTGCATGAGCCTCACTGTCTGCAGGAAACGGATCGAGCCGGAGACGGCTCTTGCTTGGGCAACAGCAGTGACAGGAGGGCTTCCCAGTCCAGTCTTGTCACGGAAGAAGCACAAGGGCCAAAGTGCTGTGGACCCAGAGATGTTAAAAATATGAAAGGTTGGCCGTGCTTCCAGGAGATCTTCATGCTGGCAGCTCTCCATGGGGAGGAGGTGGAGACGCTCAAGGTAACTGCAGTCTGAACTTCTGTTACGCTTGGAGACTGGTGTGCTCTTACCCTGTTCGTCCCTGGTACTTCATAACGAGCTTCATCTCCTGTGAGGAAGGAGCAGAGGTGCTGTTCTTGGCCTGGGGTGTGGGAGGGAACTGTCATCTGTCGGCGTGGAGGACGTCCCTGCCATCTCTGTACACAGCTCTTACTTGGGGCTCTCCAAATAGCAGCCTGTTCATAACGATGAAGCTACCCAAGGTGTTATCTTTCAGCTGCAAGTGATACTCTGGGCTTTTGTCACTCAGACAAACGGCTTTAGGGAGCTGTGACCCTTTGGCAGGGTTTGAGTTTCCTCCTTTCCTTGCCAAAGGTACTAAACTACTGCCCTGATGCCTGGCTAGCAACAGTGTCCTCATCCTTGCAATGCTCCAGGCTTGGGGACGGGCTGGATATTGCCTGGCCAAAAAGGACCTGGGGGAGTTGGTTGACAGCGGCTGAACATGAGCCAGCGTGTGTCCAGGTGGCCAAAAAGGCCAACGGCATCCTGACCAGCATCAGGAACAGTGTGGCCAGCGGGACCAGGGCAGGGATTGGCCCCCTGTGCTGGGCACTGGTGAGGCCGCACCTTGAATCCTGGGGTCAGGTTTGGGCCTCTGACTGCAAGAGAGACACTGAGGGGCTGGAGCGTGTATGGAGGAGGGAACGGAGCTGGGGAGGGGTCTGGAGCACAATTCCCATGAGGAGAGGCTGAGGGAGCTGGGGGTGTTCAGCCTGGAAGAGGCTGAGGGGAGACCTTATTGTTCTCTACAGCTCCCTGAAAGGAGGGTGCAGAGGGGGCGTCAGTCTCCTCTCGCAAGGGACAAGTGATGGGACAAGAGGAAACAGCCTCAAGTTGTGTCAGGGGAGGTTTAGGTTGGATATTGGAGAAATCCCTTCCCGGAAAGGGCTGTCCGGCATTGGAAGGGGCTGCCCAGGGAGGTGAGGGAGTCTCCATTCCGGGAGGGGTTTAAGAGACGAGCTGATGTGGTGGTGAGGGACATGGTTTAGGGTAGGCTTGGCAGTGCTGGGTTGACGGTTGGACTTGATGTTCTTTAAAGGTCATTTCCAACCAGAACCGTTCTGTGATTCTAACACCGCTGCAAAATGAGCACAAGGGTTGGCGGCACCGTGTGAGCGGTACGTGACGGCTGATGGGTGTGATGTGCGTTTTGTGCCGACAGCGGTACCTCCTGATGCAAGCCAAGCCAGGCCCGTGGGAGTTCCACAGCGGGGTCTTGACCTGCCAGTCACCTCAGGAGATCTGTGATAACATCATCAGGGAGAAGATACTGGAGTACCTGCCACTGGAAGTGCCCTACGGCGTGGTTCAGGTGGGAAGTGTGCACGAGCGGGTTTGCCTTTGAGCTGTTTTATTGGAAATGCTGGATTATCTGATGGCAATCCCTTTGTTTGAGTTGGAAACCCTTTACAGGCCCTGTGGGACAGACTGGGACTTGCACATCAGGTGCTGTGAGACCCTTTGTGTGTCTGAAGTGGGGGTCCTGCTCGCGTGCTCGTGTCGGGGAGCCTCTGAGGTGCGTTGCGGAGGCGCTGAGCGTGCGCCTGCCGTTGCAGGTGACGGAGATGTGGGAGGAAGGACCAAGCGGGGAGCTCCTCATCATGCAGAACCTCGTGGTCCCAAGAAAGTCTCATATGGTGAGTAACAGAAGAGAGATGGGGCGCTGGGGGGGCGTGAAAGGAAGTTCCCGAGGTTCCGTGCACGCTGTGGTCCCCTCTCCTGGCTGCAGGGTTTCTTGGGAAGAGCCGGGTGCCTGACACATCACAGTGACAACTTACACCTTTCTATTGGGGTTGGTCTTGAGGTTTCCCTAACTGCTGTGTCCCCGCTCGCTGCTTCTGTGGTGGCACTGTTGTTCCCCCTCGTGATTCCTTCCGCGGTTAAGCGATAGAAGGATGGGAATGATGATCTTCTCTCTGGGTTTAAATACAGATGATGTTGATTGGAAGAAGAGGGAAAGTTATCAGCAGGATTGCTCAGGAGGCTGGCCAGGACCTGATGAACGTTTTCCTGTGTGATGTCCGCTTGAAACTCAAGGTGGAGGTGAAGAGTTGAGCTCTTTGTGTGTATTTTAACAGCCCTTGAGCTCCCTGGTCATGCGGAGAAACCGGTCCCGTTTCTCCTGCGGGTACCTTGGCACCTTTGTTCAGTCCAGAAGCAGAGGATGATGGAATCGGTGTAGCAGACTGAAGTAGGATATATTATTCTTTGGGGGAATGGCCCAAACTGAAATAAAATCTTCAGACCTTCTACGGCACCTGATCTTGGGGCAGCTGGGGACGGGCATCGGACCGGCTGCACGCGCGGTTCCAGAACTGCATCTACAGAGCTGTCAGCCGCGTCTTTGGGGCTTTGTCCTGCGTCCTTGTGTCGAGTGTCTGCGCCTGGAAGTTAGTCCTGGCACGGTTAGTCCCTCTTCGGAAGGTGGAGTGACCCCAGCCGTGGTCAGGCAGGAGGAAGCGGCCGTTGGCGGTGGTCTCGCGTCGGCTTTGCTCTCCGCCCTGTGGAGGTTCACGGGTGTACGATGGTGTAGGGAGGGGGTGTGGGGCAGGCAGGTTTGGAGGGGTTTGCTGGCTGGCAGAACCGCTCCGTAACGACTGGGTGTGATGGTGGGAGCTCTTAAGCTCCCTGTGGGTTGGAAAGGCCAGTGGTTTCCAGCTGCTGTGTGGGACCCCTTCCCCCAGGCTTGCGCGCACCATCCTCTCAGCCGACTGCTGCTTTCGTTTTGACCTCTCCTGCGTGGTGGTTTGTAAAAACGCGTGTTCCTTCTCTTTCCCCTCTCACCCTTTCCTCCGACTTCCGAAGCAGTTTGCTGCTCCTGGCACGTGGTGGTCGCTCCAGAGGGATGGCTCTGGTTGTGGGCTCTGCCGAGTTTTTTCATGGAGAAGGAAGAGATGGAACGGCGATCCCCTCTCGGTGTGGATATGAGCTGCTTCCCTGACTGCCGCTGAGAGGGGCAGGGCGGTCGGGGAACGGCTCACAAACAGCTGCTGGAGCGTAATAACGGGAAAGGGAAACGGAGCAGGGGATAGGTGTCCCTCTGCCTCCACACATGTTGTGTCTGGTGTCCACGGGGGTCCTGCCTGTCCACCCCTCCGCGTGTTCGGCTGGCGAATGAACGCCGAGTGGTTTGGTCTGAAGATGCAGACCAAACGCATCATCTTACAGATGTTTGCTGCTTCAGAACGGCCTGTTGCCACGCAAAACCAGGACAGACCGCCTTTCGTAGGAATTTGAGTAGTTTGTTGCGCCAGAGTTACTTCAAAAGTCGTTACTCCGCACCAGGGTCGCGGATACAAACGTAGAGGCCGTCGCAGCTAAAGAGAAGCCCAAAGTGAAACAACTGGCGTAGGTCAGGGTGGGAGAAAGATCAGAGGCTGGAGGAGCAGGGTCCTGAAGAGAAGGCTGGGGCAGGGCCCCTCCGCACGCGGACCTGGGGTTAGGGGGCTCGAGGTTTCATCTGTACGCCGCTGTGTTTGGAGCGCTGGGTAGCTTCCGGCCGGGAATGCAGGTGGATCCTCGCGCGCTGTTGTAAGTGAAAACCCCTGAGCGAGGAGTCCCCTGGCTGCTCCCCCGACAGTTCAACGAGGAGACGTGTGTAGGGTCTGGAAGCCAAACCCGTTGAGCTGATCCTGTGCCCACCATCCCTCTCCGCTGCGGCGTCAAGGAGATGCTTTACCGGCACTGCCGGAAGCGTGCGCCCGAGCTGCTGAGGGATTCTGCCGTCAGGGATGAGCGGAGAGGCCTCCGGAGAGGCACACGCTGCCCTGTCCCCTTGAGCAGGGGACACTGATCCCTCGAGTGCTTCTCTCCAACTTCTTGTATTTTCCTTGGAATAAAATGAGGTGCCAGCACCAGCGAGCGGTTGTTCTCTCCTTTCCTCTCCCCGTCAGCCCCCCGCCTTTCATCCCTTTTATTCCAGCTAAAACCAGGACGCTTGTATGTCTTTCCTCCTTTCTTCCCAGCTTCGATCCCCTTTCCTCAGGCAAAGTTACACTTTGCAGGGAGCGAAGAGCGGGGTGCGGATGGTTTGAGGGGTTGGAGGTGTTTCGGCGGGCAGGGGTTCGAGGGGGAGCTCGGGTTCGCTCCGTGCCAATGCAGAGCCTCTTCCCGGTGGGAAAAGGGATGGAGCCAAGCACGCAGCGCAATGGCTGGTCTTGGGGGTAAGGGAAATGCTCCGGGTGTGGGAAGGGGCAAAGCCTCCTTAATGAGGTTGGATAAATTAGGTTAATTAAGGGTAAGCCAAGAGCAGGGCTGGAAGCTGCAGCGGGGAGGTGTTTTAATTGACCTGAAGCGGGTGGGGGTGGTGTTTGTCGAAGCTTCCTTGGTCCGGGCATGGCGGGAGCCGGGCTGGGGCTACCCACCCCC